AATAGACCTAGGTAAGAATCTGCTAAAAGCTGTAGCAACTGTGTGCGACAGTACAAGGTTGGCTTAGCTGTAATTACTTTTTTTTTTTTTTTGCCTCAGTCCTGTTAACAACAGCTGCTGCTTTTGCAGATAGCAGTCTTGGCTAATGTTGCTGTCATGTCAGTTACTGTCTCTATGTTTCACTTTTTGAAGAATCAACAGTGTACAAACAGTAGGAATAAACCTGTAATTTCCCACTTGGTGAGTTTATAAAAGAAATCTGCAGGTAAGCAAGGACAACTCTTATGTCTGCCAGCTGTGGAGCAGCATGCTGGTATTTTCGGTAGTAATTGGTAGAACTGGCAATCAGTAGGAACTGAATGAGTTGAAATGTTCCCTTTTGTCCCACTGCCAATGTGATACCTGTTCTGACTGATAATGGAAGAGGAAGAAATTGATGTTGTCCTAATAATACATAAGAAGCATAAGCATACAGATAGTATTATCCTGTTTGAAGATTTCATGCTCAGTTTTTGATTTTAATTAAGAATGTTGTCTTGTGTTGTAGGTTTAACTTCTATGATGGCCCTCCATTTGCTACTGGGCTTCCACACTATGGCCATATTCTTGCAGGAACCATTAAAGACATAGTAACCAGATTTGCTCATCAGAGTGGATATCATGTTGACAGAAGATTTGGCTGGGATTGCCATGGCTTACCTGTGGTATGTGTCATAAATCTGCCTACAAATATTTTTGTTCCTCTTTCCACGTTGTTACCTGCTTACCAGTCATGTTTCTATTGCTCTTATGCCTGGCTTTGTTGCTAGAAGAGAAGTGGAAGTTCTTTGTCCAGTGTGTTGCTCTGGCTTTTGCTTGTGTGGTGAGTTCAGGTGCTTCCTAATGGTCACCTGCCCTTCTTCAGGCACTCTATTCATTACTATAAACATGAATTTATTTGGTATGTTTTTTTTTTTCTTTTTCTAAAGATAGCAAAGAAACAATCACACCAGGGTTATCCTTTGAAATATCTGCTTAGTTCAGGTGCAATACTCAGGAAATCTCAAAAGGATAAAGGAGGCCCTTTAGCCTCATTAGGATGCATAGAACATAAATAAACTATCCAGAGAAATCCTGAAGGCTTTTGATGACAGCGTGGGGTTTTTTTCTGGTTGTTATCAATGCTCCCAGGAATATGAGATTGACAAGACCTTAGGCATTAAAGGGCCAGAGGATGTGGCGAAGATGGGGATTAAAGAATACAACAACCAGTGCAGAGGGATTGTGATGAGATACTCAAAGGAATGGGAGGTAAGTCAAGGCTCAGCGTGTATTCTGCTGTATGTTTCTAAATGTATGTGTGCAGAAGTCTTTCAGCTGGGGTGAGCTTCATCCTTCTATTTGATTACGTGCATAAATCTCATGTCTTTAGCTACCATGTTTCTCACTGGTGATCCTGAAGGGGGGACACAAACCAACATTGTGGCTCAGAACAGGGAGACTGCTGTGATGTCAAGAGAAGGTTACTTTAAGGTAACCGGGAGCTTACAGTGTCTTAACTAAAAGCGTTGAACATCTAATAGATAGATACATTGAACAAGTTATCTCTTTCTTCATGTCATCTTCTTTTTATAAAAAGTTGAAAGTAAGATATGACTTTGGTTTTCAAATGAAAGCGATAAAGAAAATGCACATTAACCTCCCTGCTCTTCTCCCTCGTGCCCCCTCCCTCCCCCCCCCCTTCAGTCTTTTCATTGCCAGAGTGTTAGGACTATAACTTGTATTTCTGGAACAGCAGAAGTTCTAGCATCTGATGTTCTGTCAGAATAGGTATGGGTAAACTCTGTCTTCCAAGAAAATACTGGCCTAACTTTGCATTCCATGAATATAGTAGTGCTAGGGAGAGCATTGCTCTGTGCAGACTCTTGAGGTTGGAGAGCTGTTCCAAATAGGTGGGTTAGATATTGCCTAAGGGATGCACAGGTTTTTTTTCTAACTCTGAATAATATTCATCCTATGCATAGAACCTGATGCTCCTTATTTTTCTCCTTAGCAGTGTGGCCAGAATAAAGCATTTAGCCCAATTTAGCATTGGGACAGGTGTCTGCGCTTGCTTATTTGCAGAGCTAGGGGTTCTGATAGCTGTGAAATGAGCAAGACTACTACTTGTCCAAGTGAATCCCATAGCTAGCTGATTACTCATTAGTTTTCATATTCTGTGCCAATGGATGTGACCATAATCTGTCCCGAGACAGGGACTAACACCTGTCAGTCTTGTGGTCTTTGGCAGCCCTGTCGTAGCTTTGGCAGGTCAAAGAAGGGAGTTGGCCCTGAAATACTTTTGATAGCTTCTTGTGACATATCAATTTCTTTCAGCATTTCTTTGTCTTCGAATTACATCATGTTTTCATATAACTGAAAGCTGATAGACTCTATGTTCTGGATTTTGACCATCTCTGTAAGGGGTATTTTTAAAAATAGAAGCAAGACCACTGTAATCCAAAGCAATTTGCAGGCATTTGAACCTCAGCTGAACCTTGAATGATCCACCATTCTATTTGATGAATGATCCAAATGATTCACCGCTTCTGTTCAGTAGTGTCGAACACGTTTGCCTGTTGTGTGACCTTGCTTCTAAACAGTTACATTCGCGGTTTCGTTCTTTGCTTATAGTAGCATGTTTAAATACACTGTTTGGAGCTATTGTCAGGCTAAAATATTTCATAGATGTGTTACGTTAATATGGGACAAACACTACACTTGAAAATGAAGCTGTTTTACAGAATAAATATTATAAATGTATCATGATCTTTTATGTTAAGATGCCTTTCAGTCTGTGTGTTTTGTTTCTTAACAGTTCAGTGTTACCAGATTAGGACGCTGGATTGATTTTGAAAATGACTATAAAACTCTTTATCCTGCGTTCATGGAGTCTGTGTGGTAAGTTAATTTACATACATTGCATGTATGAAGCCTTCTTAACATTTCAAATTCATAAAGCAATTATCATAAACATGTGTTGGTCCATAAATCACTAGAACTGTTTTGAAACATGCCAAATTCAGATAAATAGCGGGCAAAGTAATGAAGGTGATGTGAAATCTCTTGATATTGAAGTGAGGGAATTAATTGACGTACTTTTTTTCTTCTTCAAGATAGTAGGGTTTTCAAAACAAAGTACAACAGTACTGCTTTTAGTGAGCCATGAAGTCTTACTGCTCCATGGCAACTTAAAAGCAATTCTGAAGATCTACTGATATGTTCCTTGCTTGGTTTAGGAAATTACATTATATCTCTGTTTTTGATGTTCTTCACACTGTCAGCTGCAAATGGGCAAACTATCCAAACTTCGTTTAGCTCTAAACCTCTTCTTCAAGCCTGAATCAGAGGCTGCAAATCTGCTGTTTATCTTTTTCTTGGCAGCATAGTTGGACAACTGTCTTGGATTCCTGGTGCAGAGCTAAGTAAAGTTCAGGTATTTTGGCAATGTATTCAGGGTGACTGTTGGAATTCCAAAAGACAAGATGACCTCATAGGTTAAGGATAATTAAATTGACCTAACATGGTGAAGAAATGGCAATATTGAGTCCTTCAGGTGATAGAATTACAAGGTGGATTGCGAGGAGAGGTTTAGCAGAGTATACACTGACAAAACGCCATTGAAGAGCAAAATTATATGTGTCTTAAAGTGTTATTGATGTTATTTAACATTAGTTTTACTAATAACCTTTAATTGTATAGTTAGTTACGTATAGTTATGATAAAGGATTGACAGAACTTCTAGATGTTTCTGAAGCTGTTGTAGAGGGTGAAGTGACAGTGAGCTTTCAGTGAGCATTGAGAAGAACGGTGGGAAGAGAGCAGATGTTTAACTAGCTTAGCTTCAGAAACCCTGCATAAAGATAAAAGCTAAGATGGACAAGGAACCTTCTTTTTGTAAGTTATAAATGTACTTAGTGGCACCTTAAATCCTGTTTAACTAGCATCTTCCAAGGAAGCATCCTTGGAAGGTTGCTTCCAAGTGTCAAAACTTGACTTGAACTAGCTGTGGGGTCTCTCTCAATAGCCCAAGCCTTTTTTTGTGGTGTGGGTTTTCTGTTGTGGGTTCTTTATTTTTATTTTTTTTTCCCCTCCCACTTTGAAAGAAAATTTCTAGTCTTCCACCTGGCTTACAGAGGTTACCTCCTCTAATTCTTGCTTTGGATACAAACTCTAAAATACAAACTTTGGATCTGAAGTCTCTGTGGTATGAAATTTCAAGGAAGTATGTAGGCAGCCTCTTAATTTTGTAGTTTCTTGCTTCCTGATGCTACTAATTTTCTGTGTAATCGTGTAATGAAGTGCACTTCTAAAAGTCTGTTTTTAAAAATCAGGTTTTCTGGAAAGTCTTCTAAGTCTTGGAGGGGCATGTTACTATGCCTTTGCCAGCTTCCTCTCCAGTATAACAGGAGCTGGAACCACTGGCATTTGCATAGAGCGGGTGGAGGAGGGGAATGGGAAAGGAATGTGGAATGTTTCAAGGCTAAGGGAAATAATGCTTAAAGAGTGCACTGTAACTGTAGTTACAGTAGTGCTTGTGACAGGATAATGTGCAATATTCTAAAGAAAAAAACAGATTGTTACCCAGGCAATCATCAAATTGAAAATCTGTTACTGAACTTGCATTTTATGTCCACTAAGAGTATTCGTTTGAACAGTAGATTTTGGTGTGCTGTGCTTATAATTGATTGGCTTTTTTTTTAATAGGAGTTCCTTTTAAAACCTTTTTTTAATTTAAAAACTTTAGTGTCCATCTAAGCACGAAAGAGAAAGTGGTTTTAATATGTTTTGTTTGTTTTGGGTTTGTTTTGTTCTGCCGGTGGGAGTAGAATTCTGCTCTTAGGCCCAGAAAAAAAAATAGTGATGATAATAATGGTAGTGAGCCTGGCACCCATGGATTTTGTGCTTAAAATATGGTAAGGATTTTGTAGTTAGTATTTTAATCAGCCAAATCTATCTGTTTAGGTTTTGGTGGGGTTTTTTTTGTCTTTAGCTCTTCCTGAGGCTTACAGTTCTGGAGTGGTCTCAACTGGAATTTCTAGCTTTCTATGAAATGTAATGATTTCATCCATTATGTTTATATTGAGTTCAGTGAGCTAATGTAATGCTTGTGATAAATGTTGTTTCCAGGGGTGGCTGATTTTATCCAAATTATTTAGTCTTGAAATAGTTTAGGACTCGGACACCAAATGTATCTTTTATTAATATTACCTTGTTTTGTAGATGTACTGTACAAGGTCATTATGCTAGAGAGCATTCTTTTTCATATCTTATAATGGATTTGTTGGAAATGGCTGCTTTGTAAGCATTTTAGCACTGTGCCATATGGTGGCTGACAGAGTAGAATGAATTTTCAGCCTGCTAAATTTTGGCTTGGAACAAAACTTCATCCAATGATAAAATTGTGGCATCATGGCAGAATTTTTCAGGGGTACATTGACTGTTGGTGTCATTAAGCTGTGATACTGCAATGGTTTCTTATGTGATGAAGATATAGTCAACTCTTCATGTCTTAAATAACTTACTAGAACTTTAAAGTTCTATTTTCTGTAGAACTTTTATATCTATCCTGCAGCCAGCTTGATTCTTAGTGAAAATGTGTTGTTCACTGAAAACAGTATGACGAGAATGATGTTCCTGAGCTAGCGTGGAGCAAATGCACAATATATTCTTGTGGGTTTTTTTGTACAGCTCATGAGATGGATGCAGTGAGATCTAGAGCAGTTTGATGTGATCTTGAACTTCTTACCCATCTACAGTTGGTCTGAAAGAAGTATATGAGCTTTGGGAAAAAAGACAAGTAGTAAATGATTGTCTTCACTTCTGGGTTTTTGCACAGTTCTCAGGCCAGCTGTGAGCCTGCACCTCAAGAGCAGTTCTTCCTGGCCGCTGAGGAAATGGTCTGTGAAGTGCAGAGGAGAGGAGGGGAAGAGCCCTGTGGTCAGAGCTGTGGCATGTTTCTGGGTCTGATGGCTAGGCTGTTAATTTGCTCCTGTACACAACTTCAGGTTTAGTTAAACAGCTTTCTATCACTATCTAGTGGCTAAATTAGGCAATTGCAGTCTGAGCATAATTAAATTTTAAAAACATTTGCAAACTCCGTGTGTTTTTAAAAGACTTGCTTGTATGGTGTGAAACCACAGGTGGCAGAAACACTTCTTGGCTACTTCTGTACCCTAAGAAGATACTCATGAGTCCTTTTGTGGTAACACTAGGTAGTGGGTGGAGAGGGAAAGAAAAACATTCCTAGTTATGTTAGAAAATGGGTACTTTATGTATGTGAGATCACAGCTATATGCTGTGATCTGCTCTGTTTACTGTGAAAATGCAGTATGGAGCTCCCTTTGGTGATGGGGCTTTTCATCTATTTCTGCCTTCCCTCCACTGGACCTATCTCAGTTGTTCCAGGGACCTCTCCTTCCTTCCCTGTGTGTAGCTTTGTTTTCGTTTTGGCATGATGTGTTTTCCATACTCTATATTCTCAAGATGAGCTCTGTCACTCAATGTCAGTGTCCAACTGCCTTAGCCTTTCTCAGTGAGGTGAATGGGGACTCCCTGTTGAGAGGAGGCCTGGTTTGTAAAGATCAAAGCAATTGGATTGTTACGTTGTTTTTTCCTTTCTGTGTAAGCAGTAAAAGTAGGTTTCTGACTTAATTTTTTTTCTGCCTGGGCAGTTTATCCAGCACTAAACCAGAATGATTTCTGAACAACAGATCTCTAGGTCCTAATAGGAATCACTATTGTACTTTTTTATTCCATGACTCATTAATGATTCTTTAGAGAGATACAGTAGTTCATAAGAAATGTTTTGTCCATTTTTCTACTGGCTATCTGCATTTTTTCCTCACACGTTTATTTCTTTTGCACATTTAGTGCTTTAGTCCCCTTGTTCTCTTCCTGCCATTCCAGTCCTTGTTGTTTTATCTCCTCACCTGTTTTTTGAAGGAGGAATACACTGAACTCGTACTTAGTTGGATGATCTTTGGGGTAAGTCTGGCATCAGTTTTAGATAGATATTTATATTCTCTGCTATACAGGTATTTTGCACTTCTGGCTTGATCCAGAATCTTTCAACACACTGATCCCAAGATTACATCAGGAAATCCCCTCATTCTTGCTAGTCTGAAGCTTGGAGGGTAGAGCTGGAGCAGCATGATCTCCATATGCTGGGATTTTTAAAGCTTTCACTGGTAATTGAACATAAGACTTGAGAACCTCTGTACTTGTGATTCTTATGCCCCAGAAAAAAATGCTTTTCCTGTCTTATGAAGGTGTCTTTTAAAGATGCTATGCTGAAGACAGGCTGTCTGTGTTATTGGACTTAATGTTCCTATTACGTTTATGCTTTTTGACATGTCCAGTGTTGTTCAAGTACTCTTTTTTTCTTTTCCTGTTTTCATCCCTGTGCATCTGTTTTTGATTGTTGCTTTCTTTTTGATTAATCATGTCTTTCAAGGGTTGCTCATGAGTCATGGGAGAACCTTTTTCTCAGAATTTGCTGCTTATGGTGCTGTTTGGATGCAGTCTGCTTGCTGAACTGTGTAGATGACAGGGCTTCTTACACAGTGTGGTGTTTGATTATTTTTTTTTAACTCTTCAGAGGCTGTTAACTTGTCATTTTTATCTTGAGATTAATTGATACTACATCACACAGCAGTTATTTTGTTCATTTATCTATTCTGCAATGGATATATTGAAATTGTACGCTTCTAGATCCTGCTGTTGTAATGTTTTGCCCGCCTTACTTTTAGCCTTTGCTGGTAACTGAGTTTACAATTCTTGGGGCTTTTTTTTCTTTAAAAATAAAAGGGGGAAAAGCACTTCATATGAGCTTGAAAATAATTTCTCAGTATTAGTAATGAGTACTTCCATTTTCTGAAAAACTAGTTTTCAAACCCTTAGAAAACCTTTAGATACTGAGTCATTGCAAACAGAATCACCTAAAAATCACTTGATACCCCAAAGGAATGGCATTAAGAACTTGAAGCTCTAAGATCAAATCCTTCCCTTCGATGTGAAGGGAATGTGTGTGTTTGAAAATGACAACTTGATTTTGCATCTGCTAGGGGATGCTGTGGGATGATGGATTTTGTGTGGGATGCCAAGGGTGTTTTGAATATTACGTTGACTTACTCGGTATCTTTAGGAAGGAAAAACTCCCTTTGGAAGAGTGGTGTTATATCCCATGTGGTGTTTGCATGGTGCGTATGTGACTTGGATCAACAAATACTGTAGCAAAGTTCTAATTTCTTGGAAGTTATGCCTATGGAGAGAGTAACTCACAGTCTTGGTTACTGACTGTGCTTGAACCAGTTGTATCATCCCCTCATGACACTTCAGGAACAAAAAACATGTGTGTTCAGTTAGTCATGCTTTTTAGAAGTTAAAGCTACCTTGCATCTCTAGGGATCAGGTTCTTTGTTAACAAGTGGCTGAAGTATGCTTCTTGACTTTACCTTTTCCCTAACCTAATTTTTCTTTGGTGAAGGAGTATGTAAGTGCTGCTCCCCCAGCCAAGAGGATGCAGCTAAATTTGTTTATGGAGGAGAAATGCAGCAGAATTAGGGAAACAGGGTTTGGCTTCTAACTTCTGTGAACAAAACTTTCTGTTTGTCTAAAGAAAGAAGCTCCATGCCTTTTTGGCTTATTTCTTTCAGGAAGGACTGCAGTTTCAACTTTGCTTACAGTCCCAGAGCCTCTTTCTTGCAAATTGTCAACATTCTGCAATAAGGGTTAAAATACAATTTGATATGTTGTTATCTGAAACCATGTGTAGAATTTTTAAGCAAAACATGATATCCACCTGTAAGTGACTCCTACTGTTAAAACTAGGTTCATTTTAGCAATTGCTTTGTTTTAGGTGGGCAGTGCTATGAGCAGGAGGCTCTTTGGGAGTCATCTCCCATGCATTTCTGATGATTGCACGAGAACTGTTCTCAGAAGCTTTCTTGTTAAGGAAACCAGTTAGGTGTTTTTCAAGATAACAAAACAGTTTTTTGTAGTAGTAATGAGGGCTATTGCATCAAGCAGCAGTCTTGATTCAATCACAATTCTACTTATGTTGGAATGGTTGTTTGAGAGTAGAGATTATGATAAACTACAAATGGGTGGTCCTTATGAACTGTAATGAGAGGGCTGAAGAACGATGTGGTTTGAAAGCCCGTCTTTTTGCTCAGCAATGGAAGAACTGGGGAGCCCTTGGTTTGTAATAGGGCAGAATTACCACAAGAGGGAGTTACTGGCTTGGATTTTTAACTTGGCAGCTCCATCTAGTGTTCACCTTTCCTGAAGTTTACAGTTATATTTACAGCTGAATGAAATATTCAGTGTTTCTCTGAGTAGTTTTATTCTATGCTGGTAGTAAGCAGTGTTCTTTAGAAAGCAGAGATAAAGTAGAGCTTTTTTCTACAGATATTTTAGTTAACTGTTTTTGAAAGGCAAGTAGAACACCTTCAGTATAAATGCTGTTATTTGTCACAGTCTGCATTAATTATGCTCTGAGATGGTAAGCATACATTTAAGTTTTTTTTTTAACTTGCACGAAAACTTCTGCAATTAGACAGCTCAAATGCATATGCTGACAGCTGATGAAGCTATATTCACAAATAATTTTTATAAAAGACTGATTTATATTTATGCAAGTTTAAGTTGATACAGTCTCTGTTGCAAAACAGATGCACTCACTGCTATGTTTTGAATTTGGGTTAGGGGTCAGACAGCCACAGCTTGACTGCGGGTGACATTTATTACTTTAACAAAGTTGCTTTTGAGTTGTCTGTGTAAGGTAAGCCACCTTTGTGAGAGTGCACAGCTCTGAAAGAATTCTGGGTTTTGCTCCTTCATGGCAGAACTTGATGCTGCTGAGGGTCTCTTAGGCTTTATCCATCTTAGAGTTCAGATTATTTAATTTTTCTGACTTCAGTGACCACTCACAGGAAATTTTGGATTTTTACTAGAGGCCCATGGATGAATCTGAGTGGATTACATGTCTTTTCCATATGTCTGTATTTTCTCTCACTGTCTGATCTGCAGGGTAGTAATTACTCTGATTACGATACTGTACAAATTCCATGACAATGGGCCAGTGCATATCTTTTGTTGTTCTTGTTTCAGGCTGCAGTTACAAGTCAGTGCAATAGTCTACTTGCATTTTGTCTTGAAGATTGTGATTTCAAACATAGAAGGCAAGATACTGACTTAAATACAGGTCCAGATTCTCAAGCACAAAATGACAGCCTGCAGGAAAAAGTGCTGCTTGCCAGGATGGGGTTGGTTGCTTAGCAATGAGCTATTTATCTGGAAAGGGACCCAGAAAAGTGATCAGGATGGTTTGAAAACGTAGTTTGAGTAAAGGAGTTTTTAAAGTCAGTAATGTTTAACAGTTTGGATGTGGAATTTGAAATTATCAGACTGCAGAAACTCTGATATTTTGAGTTGAATTTGGCATGATTATTTAAGGCTTGCCCTTTCCTGCCTTTACTTTTAAGGGAACCAACGTTCAGACTGCACCACTAAGTGTGCAAGTCAGTGAGATCTGATAAGCTGATAAATGTTGATGATCCTTTAGCAAACCCTGCACAGAAACATAGGGGTTTGTCCATCATGTGGACACTTGATGAATTGCTATGTGAAGTATATTTCTATTCCAGCTTCCGTTCATCTTGAGCATTGACTCAATTTGTCATATTGTAATATGTGCTGTCTTGATTATTTCAAGAAGATGTAATGATCCAAATATGCTACAGGCTGTATTAAAGATTCCATAAACAGAGTTAAAGCTTGATTGAGATTGTGATCGTAGACAGGAACTGAGTCCAGAGTGAAGTGAGCTAACGAAGGAGAAAATTAATGTAAGTTGTGGGCTATCTGAGTTCATTACTCTGCATGGTTAGCTGTGCCCTCCTGTGAAAAATACTCTTCAGATTGTCAGGATTTACTTGGGGTAGGTGGCAGGTGTCTCAAACCTGTATCTGTCTCCCTTCTGTAGCACTGGTTGCTGTAGTCAGTACTTGATCATATGATAAGCGAGCATGTTGCTACACATCTCTCTAAATTATGACTGATTTCAGTCTTGTTAATAGTTCAAATTTCAGGTCATCTTCATATTCAAGAAATTTGAGAAAGATTAATCAGCAATGCAGATTTGTGTTTCGTCTAAATACTATGTGCTTTGCATGGAGAGCCAAGCTGATAGAATCAGCAAAAGCTAAAAATCAGCCAGAAACGCACTTGCAATCAATTTGTCTCTTTCCTTTTGACTTGCAAATATTGTCTATAGTTGATGATTGCTTAAAAAAAGATGTCATTCAGAACAGCATTCCAGCTAGAGCAGAACCCCATTTTTGCCGTTGATTTATTAAATTTGAAACACCAAATGTTACTCTGTGTTCCTTGTTTACTTCCAGGTGGGTTTTCAAGCAGCTGTATGACAAAGGACTGGTGTATAGAGGTGTTAAGGTCATGCCTTTTTCAACTGCATGCAACACTCCACTGTCAAACTTTGAGTCCCATCAGAATTACAAGGTAAATACATTATATGTTGCAATCAGATTTACTCTATTGTCTTCAGTTTGGATTTGGAAAGCCTTAGGGATTATTTTTTTTTTGTGTGTGGTGGTACATAAGGATATTATTATACTCCAAACTGATAGTAAAACTTTAGGTGAATGGGTTAGTTTTTATTATACTTTGCTGTGTTTGGATTGCTTGATCTCAGCCTTCTTCCCTATTCTTCTTGGTTACTATTTACATATAGAAAAAGTATATGCTTTATTTTATTCTGGTAAATTACTCTCACTTCCTCTCTGGGCTCTCAAGATGAGTGTTGCACTGTGTTGGATTTGTATGGTAAATACTTAAAGGAGAAGTGCAGCTGTCCCTGTCTGTGCAGATCGGAAATGAGGAAGGTCCTTGGCAGAGTTGAAATCTCCTGTGAGGGGATTGATAAGAATTTCCAAAGACTTGGGTTGGTTGTAGTGCAGTAGGATAATAGCTCTTCTAAGAATCATTAAGTTAGACTGAGACATTCCAGGAAATGTTTTACCTAATATAATGCATGGTATACTATATTTTATAAGATGTTCTTTTAAAAATGAATGACTCTATATTGTAGGTGTCGCTTCTCATTTGCAGCAAACTTCCGTTCACATATGTGAAGGCAGAGCTTGTGTCCCAGTTTTCCGGATTTCACGTTAGTTTGTGGGCAGAGGTTTTATATCCTTTCTAATCCCCATACAGGCCTCCATATCCTTACATCATAAATCTTTCACTTATGTTTTTAGAGCAGAGAGCTAGCACGAATTGTACATATGGTCTTTTTTACATCTTGCCTAAAAAAGGCCAATTTGCTGTCCAGAAATAGTGGTTTTAAAACAAATTTTTAAATGGACTTGTAGTACAATGTAGTCCACAGATGCTAGAGGCTTCAATATTGCTGAGGGGTAATGACCGTACTGAAGAATAAAGGTTTTGTGAAAGATATCTCTATATTTGTGACTGTCTGACAACTGAAATAATTAATTTGCTCGTCCTTATTAACTGACATTTCATATAGGCTGAGATTAGTGAGCTTTCTTTAGAACAAAGACTGTGGGTGGGGTTTTTCGTGTGTGCGTGCCTGTTTTTCATAGAGCAAAGCTCTTTTCTCTAGTCTTAATGAAATACTTAAATGCTATTTCTTACTCTAGAACCAGTAGAGTGTGTGGGGAGTGTGCTGCTCTGCCATTTCATGCAAAAATTATCTTTTTTGTCTGCTAGAGGTGGTATTTTGAAGACTGACGTGTTGAGGGTCTACAAGCTGACATGATTTGTTCTTGGTGAGACCAGTTGTTTCTGGGTGTAAGGCAGCTGTTACCTTTCTTACTGCAGAAAGCAGGCTTTGGCTTCTGTTTATTGATCCTGTGAGAAGCTGGACACAAATAGTGAGAAATAGGTCACAAGAAGCATGTTTAGAAACAGAGCTAGGTGCCTGATGTACACTTGAGTAAACTATGTCAGCAGCTTGTATTACATTTAAATGAAGAAGTGTTATCTTCAGATCAAAGCAGGCATAATTTTGTGAACAGATAAAATATTATCCAGTGCCATTACTTGGTAGCCTGGATGTTGGTTTTTTATGGCTTGCAGTTGTTTTTATCTACCTGGTCAACTTAGCTCTTCAGAAAATGAAGTGAATAGCCTGCAGTGCTGTTTAACAATTGGTAGAGACAGAACAGTAGTGATTGCTTGATCTTTGCTTGGTATTGAGTGTGGTTCGAGAGTTATGTAATGTTTATGTTTTACTGTTGACTGTACCAGATGTTCACAGAAAATTCCCTCTGGAGCAGCCCTTAGCTCAGACATAAATAGCTGCCTGCCCCATGATGCTGTTAACTGTTCCATGATGCTGGCTGGAAACCAGAGTGCCTTGCACTAGAAATGATGTTGGGGATAGGACCTATTCATGTATTTACAGTTTCTGTGCAGGACACCTATTTTTGTTTGGCATTTGAAGTTAATACTGAAAAACTCACATTTGCAAGATAGAATTGCTTTTTCAATCTGCTTTTCATAATATATGAAATGTGAAGTGGCTGAGTAGGATTGTGCATGTCTGAAAGAAAAACTTGTTTTCAGAGGATTCTTTTGACTCATTTGGAGGTGAGGTGCTATAGAATAGCTGACAGTGGTCTCCTCTGAGATTTTTTTACTCTTAAATATTGGCATACTCTTGTTTTTAAGTACCCAAAACTTTTTTTCATTGTTAACAACAGCTTCTTAATAAGAGATTGGATCTTCCTAAGTGATGGCTATTCTTGTTGCTCCCTGATTCTAGAGGAAAAGGTGGGAAAAGGCTTTGTGTAGCAGTAGCTGAGAAACTGCTGATTCTCCTGACCGTTGAGACTGATTACAAACTTTTAAAATGAGATTATAAGAGGGAACTGGCACTCAGCTCTTTTTGGTGTTTTAGCAGTGAGATTTTGGGAATTAGCTGCCAATCCAAATTTTTAACCCTGTGGCCTTGTCAGACTGACAGTTTGCACTGATAGAATGTAGGAACTTTGTAATTGGTGTTCTCTTCAAGCTTTCTTATGCTCTCATTTCACCTTCTACCACTACAGTGATGAACTAGGCAAGTTGCAAGGTTTTGGTGGGCGGCAATAGTAGTTACTGCTTCTTAGATTTGTATTTTCTCACTAATGTGAGCAGTAAACCTTTTCTCCCCCCTCCCTCTCTTTTTTTCTCTTTGACTTTATCTTGGTTTTAAGGACGTTCAAGATCCTTCGGTGATTGTGAGTTTCCCACTGGATGAAGATGCAAGTGTTTCTCTTGTTGCTTGGACCACTACTCCTTGGACCTTGCCTAGTAATTTGGCCCTTTGCGTTAATCCAGAATTGCAATATGTAAAATTGAGAGGCAAGTGTTAACTGAAGGTGACATATAATGAACACTTTTTCTTCAGTGCCCGTGAATATGTACTTATATTTTGTATGATAGACTGTTTTAGGCTAAATTTGTAGCACTTTGGGGTTGGATCAGTGTTATTTTGAAGGATGAGATTTACTTTCTCTGTGGCTGATGCTTTCCAACTGCTGTGCTCTTTTTATTTTACATGCATTGTGAGGACAATTCCCTAAAAAGTATTCATAGATGAAATAAAGAACGAGAGAAAATGCCTTATCTTTCATCTTAGTCACACTGTATTTGAGGGACAGGGAAGTGTGACTGGGTGGGCTGAGTGTGGTTGGTTTTTTTTTTTTTTTTTTTCTTCCCTCCTTTCTTGGGGCTTAACCTCATGAACAAGTTACTGCTGTATGACCACCAAGTTGCAGTAACTGAATGTCTCCGTACTCTTAACCCATAACAGACCCAAGATGTCACGTGCTAGTCGCAACCTGACTGAAGCATGGGTCTTAGCACAAATGTAAGGCATGGTATATACTGTGGTTTCCAATGTAAGAGTATGTTGGACCCAAGTGCCTTGGCTTACTCATGGACCACTTGGTTGTGCCCGACTAAACAAGGTGTACTATAAGGTAATCTCTTTCATGAGAGCACCCAGTACATCGGGAATTTATTTTATTATTGAAATGCAGTCATCTTTAATTACATCTTGATCTACAAAACCTTTTTAAAATGTAATTTTAAAATGTAAGCCGGAATTTGAATAAAAGTTACTTTTTGCATTGCTGTTTTCAGGTTCTCCCAAACTGCTCACCTTTTCTGACCTTTCAGTGTATGTTTAAAAAAAAAAAAAGGGCAGGGGGAGAGATAGTGAAGTTAATGACGGCATTTAATGTGGAGTAAAAAAAAAAAAAAAAGCCAAAGGTATAATTTCCAGTTCCAACATAACCATGTGAATTTAATGTGTGTCTAAGGGGAGGTTAAACATGAAAAGTTGCAGAGGCCTTTACAGTGAAATCCAGGTATTTGGGTTTTCTTTGTTTGAAGAGACAACTAAATATGTTTTGGTTTTCAGAAGTTTTAATGTAAATTTGGTCATATCAAGAACAGTTACTGAGTACTTTCAGAAATAACACCTACACCTGCCTGAGATGCTGAGCTGTTGGGTTTGGATGTCTTTGGCCTACAGCCTGCTGGTTGGATAGTGCCCCTGACTAAGTCGGTAGGGTAGTAGTCTGAATAAAATTTGTCATTGAAATTAAGGTATTAGGGTTATTTGGGAGCAGAAGGTGGGTTTCCTTCATAACACTTAATTTTTATTTGTATTTACTTCTTTTAAAAAGAAATCCAGACATAAAAATGATTGGAATAGTAAATCTCAGAAAGGCAGCATAAAGTGCAATTGTTACCCCTAATGTCAACTTAATATTATTGATTTTTACATAGTAATTGTCCATCTCCCAGTTGTTTCCCTCTGTTTCAGTTACATATGCTGAAACTTTTCAGTTGCTTTTCTTTGGTCCAATGATAATAGACAAAGTTGGTTATTTATGCCTCTTGAACAAAAACCCACGCTGCAAATCAGTGGACTGGGTTTCATCTTGTGGTTTCTGTTTACACTTAACTTTTGTAAAGTGTTCATTAAGTGGCTGTATGGGGAAGAATTAGCCGGAAACTATTGGTCGATCAGCAGGATTATTCTGGGCAGTTTTACAGCTAATATGATACCATCTTGCATAAATTGAAAGGTTTTGTAACGGTGCAAGTGAGGGTATTAAATTGAGATTTTTGTAACTTTTTGTTTTATTTTATATTCTAGATAATGCCACAGAGAAGATTTACATTTTGATGGAATCCAGGCTGATAGTACTGTACAAATCTGACAGTGAATATGAGATACTTGACAGGCAAGTACATAATTTATTACATACTTGTTAACTTCCCGTATTTTTATAGATCAGAAGTTAAATGTTTCAAGAAGTTGGATTTTGCACTTTTCTGAAGATGAGTTTCCCTGCATGTGTGTATATCTTGCAAAAATCTGTAGAAGAAACTGAAATTTACTAGAACCAATTGGTCTTGTACATGAAAGTGCAAATAGAATAAAAGTTTCTTTGGATCATTGTATTGTGGTGGTAAAAAAAGTTCCTTAGTCCTTCCTTCCTTGTCCTGTGTGTTTTCTTAGAGACATTAATTTAAACATCTCGAGGAAAAAAAAAAAAAAAACCCAAAACCAAAAAAAACCCAACCCAAAACAAAACACACACCCCCCCCAAACCCCAAACAACTGGAGATTGTCCAAAAGCTGAACACTTTCTGAACATTAGGTAAATATTTAAAAGGAAATGGGCAAAAGCAAAACCATTGTCTTGAGCAAGCAAATACTGCTTGCATGGGATAGTCCACCTAAGTTACGTAGTTAGTGGCAGTTAATGCTTTCTGAAGACTGCTTATTCATCTTGGTTTGATGGAAAACTATGTATTGTTAAATAAGTCAGACTGTATAGGGGATGCAGGTGCTAAATTCTGTAGCTCTCTTAGACAAAATATGTAGCTTGGCTTCTCTTTAAATCTTTTGTATAAAACATCAACCTGTAAAAGAGGTAAAATACAACAAATATTTATTTGCTCACTTTATTCAGTGCTGTGCAGTGTGTGTTTAAAAAAAACCAAAACAAACAGAACAACAAAGCACAAAACTAAACCAACAAAACACAAACGAACCCAACAAAAAAACCACACAAGGCAAAACCACAATAAAACAAAAAACAACCCAAAACCACAAAAATCCCAAAGACTAGAAATTTTTTTTGAGAATAACAGCCCTTCTTCACTGGCAGCAGTTATTTTTATTTTTATCTTTTTTTCTTTTTTAAACCAAGCAGTTGAAAGCTTTACAACATGTAAAAAACATTTAGAAAAGGAAGGATACATCTTATTCCATCTAAGCAATTGCATGTAGTCACTGAATTAGGGGAATATAGAGCTGGAGCATTTGCTTAAGATGTTTTGTACTCTGATACTTCACACTGTGACAGTTGAGTAATTCTTATTTTGCATTTCTGCATTGATTTCTCTCTCCTCTCCGCCCCCAACTGTATGCTCTTTGTCTGTCACTTACTCTGTAGCAATTTAGGCTGGTACTCAATTTATAAATGTGATTTTTTTTCAGGGTTGACAGTACTTCTGATCTCTAGGTTTTTTCCTCCCTTCCAGAGTCATCACTAAAACCATTGAATAGTGTCAGCATTACCATAGTCTCTGCCAGGATATCACTGGAAATTTTCTTTGTCTGATGCTGAAATAACACTAACTTTTTTTCTCAAAGTGGTTGTGCATCCATGTACATGTGCAGTCACCCGGTTAAAATATTTCTGTGTGTCAGAGTGAGATGTCAGAAGTCTTACTAACATTAAGACTCAAATCTGTCTACTTGCTTGCTATCTAAGCTAACTGGTCTGCCTAAAAAGAAGTAATTTGGCTTGCTGTGACTTATTCTTGACAAATTCATGTTGTATGTTCTTTAGCACTTCCCTTTTTAAAAACTGTTTGGTCACTTAAAGTTGTATCAGGTTGTTATGCTAGTTTGACTGGTGTTTAGGTCCATCAGTACTCCCATTTCTCTCTTGAAGCATAGGTACTGTGGTCCTTTCCAGTCTCTTGACTCTCTTCAGAGCATCTAAAAACTAAGCCTTCTACCAAACCTGCTCTATTTTCTTAAATATTTTTCAATGCATTTCCTTTTGGTTTAAAAAAAATATAAGCAAGGTAGATGTATTATACTTGTTGGTTTGTTGTTTTTTCATTCCAAATTCTTCTTTTAATGGAATACTACAAATTGAATTTCAGTCTGGTTGCAGTCATTCTGTATCCAGGAATGCACTGAACGTTTCAGCCTTTTTTGGTGCGGTGAAGTACCTGCTCTTTAAGACAATCATACACACGTTTCAGTTTTCATTACTTATGTCCGTGGCTAGTTGTTTTTCTAATTTCCTACCCCCCCAGATACTGGATTTTTTTTACCTCTCTGTGCCTATACATAAGGCTGCTAGCAATTTCTATTCTCACTACAGAGCAGTGTATTTTTCTTCTTTCTGTATTAGTGCTACAGTCTTCTCAAGCTGACTTTTTTTTTTATGCTCCAGTTTTTATGTTATGTAATAAATGAGTTTTCTCAAATGTGAAATGTGAGACAATTAAGAGGTAGCTGGTAGTTGAATGGATCTTCTACAGATTTAGATCTATGAGTATGTAAGTTCATGGAAATGAACTTTCTCATTTCTACTTTAACTTTTTTCTTTCTTTAGCTCACTTATAAATTCTCAGGCAGTTAGGCCCTCAAGGGAGAAAATCATGACACTTGCTGTATACCAGGTGGCAGGCTGAAGTCAAGGACTGATTTTACTGAAAATTTTCAATGTCTGAAGTAATCTGAACTTCCTGAATACTCTCAGCCTTCCCCTCACGAACCTGACTTATCTCTCTCTTTTCCTCCCAGATGCAGATGTTAGGTTTTTGTGCGAGAGCAAATGAGAATAATTTTTTTATTTTACTGATGAGATGGCTACCAACTTTATTTGAATACTTTCTGCAGCTTTGCACAAATGTCTCTGTACATTACCCTGCTTTTGGCCATTGAGTGGCTTGTTATTTTATTCAGGAGTGGTAGATATGAGATGACTGATGAGCATTTTCCTCCCTTTGTGTTACATTTCAGTCTATTAGCATGTTAAACACTTCATTTATTTACATTATTTTCCACTGTTGTCTCTTTTTGGATTCTAGAGAATCCAACAGAGATTTGTGATCTCTTGAAGGTGAAGGATTACTATAGTGATTTTTAATTAGGCTGTTATTACTATAACTTGAGTCATAAGGCAGCACTGTATAGAAATTTTCAGTTTGAAGTTCAGGACTTTAAGTATTTCAGATACTGAAAGAGAAAATCAGGAATGTGATCCATATTTAACACAACTAAGTGAAAGTTCAGAATTTAACTTCTTTTTAGCCAGTTCTAGTGCTTCACGTTCTGTGTCTGAGCGTTCCCACATCTGTGTGGCTGAGCACTGGGATGCTTTTCTCTCATCTGATCCTGATTAAGCACCTCAAACATTCCTAAGACTGTTTGTAATATAAAATATATAAACCATCTGCCAAGCTGTGGCTTAAAATAGATATCTCCACTTTTCCTAGTGGATATTATGTATGCTGAGCTTGAGGAGTCATGCTCTTTAACTTGGCATTAAATACTGCTTGTGTTCCTTTTTGTACAATGAAACAGCTTTATAGGGTTCCCCACTTTGAAGTATTCAAATGTTTTATGGTTTCACCATCATTTTGGAAGATGTGGATCAAGAAGAGTATAGGGAAGGGCCACAGCTGTGACACATTGAGAGCTAGCCCATCTATTTGTGTTTTAACTAGACTTTTTCCTGAAATGTAAGATTTAAGCACTTTCAGGAGATTTCTGAGCAGTGAATCCCAACCTAATCGCCATCTATGTCGACTTATTGTCAGAAACCTGAAGACAGCCAGATATGCAGGCTCTGGCTGTCTTGAGTTTCTTGTCTGGCTCAGTTGGTTCCTCAGTCAGTCCTGTCTGTGTCGGGTCTTTCTCTGAGATGCCTGTGGAGAGCTTGGATGCCTAGTCTGAGGAAAAGAAATGAGGCATCCAAGCTTTAAATGCTACAATGCCCTGTATCTCAGTCTTCTGTGCATATAACTTTTAGGTTTGTTTGGATCAGTGCTTATTTAGTTCTGTTGAACATGCTGAGCTATAGGGCTTTGCTATGAATATTAAATTGAAATTGTGCTTTATCTGGAAGTTCCTTGCCCAGCTTTACCAGAAATAGATTGTTATTAATGCTTAATTCCTACATTAATTTATAGTGATTGCTGGGTTGTAAGGCCATCAAATACAAGTATACCTGTTGACTACTAGCAGAGATGTATTAAGACATTATGTTTTTTGTCCAAGTCTAAATTGCCAAAGAGGTGTAGAAATGGGGAGCAAGCTATTGAGAAAATACATTTTTCTTCACCTTACGAAGCCAAATTCTGTTAGGGATGGGGAAAAAGGAAATGGGAAAAAATAACATTCCTACCAGCTGACTAAGCAATTCTTGATTTGTTGATCTGTGTTCATATGAATCTTTCTCCTTAGGTTTCCTGGCATTGCTCTTAAAGGCAAGAAATATAAACCACTCTTTGAATATTTTATGCAGGTAAGATGAACAAGTTTGGTGTTTGGTACAGGACACAAGTATTCCTTGTTTATGTTATAAAAATCTTGCATCCTGATAACAAACCCCATGTTGTATTAAAGTAGTTCAAAATGTTGGTGAAAGGTTGAAAAACAAAGGTTGACATTTTTCCATATTTTTTTCCCTTGAGTTTTAAATACACCCAGAGTAACAACTCAGTGATAAATAGTAGTTTGAGTCCAGATTGCAGAGAAACTTCCAATTCGCATTGATAAAGAGGCAGTATTCTCTCAACTTTTCATTTGGTGAGCTTCTGTCGCCTGCCTGTTAAATCCACAAATTTTGTATTCACAAGAGAATGACTTTGACTGTGGATGACAGTTGCAGATGTGTAGTGTTTTCCATTGAAGAGTTAAGACTTTGCTAAAATAATTACTAATATATGCTTGTTTATGGATGTCCTCCTGTGCAGCATTTAAGTACTGTGTAAGTCTAGTGTAGTTAATAGCACCGCAGATGGTAGGATATATAGCAATAAGAGAGGGGGTAGAGAATTTTTTATACTTAAAAAAAATTTTGGTTAAAAATGGATTAAATTTTTCGGAGTTGAAGTGGATTACAGTACTGCTGGACAAGCAGCTATTAACTCATGCAAGGGATTTGGTCATTTGTGACTACCATCTGTTCTGAAGCATGTGCTGAAGTCAGCAAAGATGAGAGAACCTCTCTAGGGAGCAGGACCTGTTATTTCTAGAAAAAAGGTCAAACACATAGCTGAATCTGAAAAACGGGACTGCAGGTGTAAGGGTTTGGAATGCATACATTTTTTGACTCTTGCTGTACTTCTAACACTTCTAAGCAGTAGATGAGCATTTAATTTTTTTTTTTTTTTTAGAAAGGATGTCTTATCTCAAGATACCCCTGTTTAGAACAAGCCTAACCTAGTATTTTGTAAAAAATTTGGTTCAGCTGTGACTGCAGTAACTTTTTTTTACTATTTTTGTATTAAGGAATAGAAAAGAGTTCTTTATTTTTCATTATCTACATACTGAACACACTGAAAATTGTCAGATATTTTCTTGGCAATTTTTTCTGTGCGTTTTTTTTTTTTTTTACTTACCATCTTCTCGTGCTTTGGAGGAAATAAAGGAAATATATTACTATAAAAGCAGACTTACTTTTAAAAATTAGAAGGCACAGTGAACACATCAAAATGCAAGGAGACTTCTGTGTATAGAATCCCTGTAGCCTTCTCGATTGTATCCTCACTTACAGGAGTATATTGATTTGTAGTCCGTTAAGCACAGAACTGTGTAAAGATCTGTGGTTTGAAGAGTAATTGACTGTGAGGCCTTCTGGAGAGGTCTTACGTTTTATCACATTTGACACTGTTAGATGAAGTATACAGCCTGGATGTCTTAGCTATGGGAAACGATTAAATAATGTTAGGAATGTCATATTTTACCGCATCACTTTATTTTTGATGCAGTTCGTTACTCTTGTGGGTGGCTAGTGGCTCTTCAATGTTTTTAAGAATTCTGTTTTGCTATGTGTATGCATGTATACATATATATATATATAAAAAACATTTTTGTGTTACAGTGCAAAGATAAAGGTGCCTTTGCTGTGGTAGTAGACAGTTATGTGAAGGAGGAGGAAGGCACAGGTGTTGTACATCAGGCCCCCTATTTTGGTGCTGTGAGTATGAACTACATATGTTACGTTGGTTTTCTTCCAACACACACTGCTTGGCTCTCCAGCTACAGGGGACTGTCTTGTCAGGGTGATGATGATATTAAATTATCTTCCCATTTGTTACTTAAAAATGGAAAACCACAATGTAGTACTGTATTCTACTGAGTTCTTGCACTCACTAGTACCCTTTTTGTGCTAGACTGGAGATTTTGGGTGTCCCTTCATTTGGTTATTGTTGTGGTGTGTGAAGTCACCACTGTCTTCTGGGTGTCATTGATATTAGCTTTTATCAAAGTCTAAATTTATAGCTTCAGGAAGAAATGATTTGTTACTTTGATAGTCAAAACTGGCTTTGCTAAGTGATAATTTTGGATGGTAACAGCAGTTCTGCTCGCTGCCAGTGTTTCGATTTCATTACTACTTGGGCTTAGAGAATGCAAAAGTGCTTTGACTGCTTTTGTACTGAGACTTTATCCCTCGGTGTAAAAAGTATTTTATTGGCCTCCATTCTTTTTTTCTGTCTTTATTGTCCTTTCCTTTAGTCTATTCTCCTGAAGGTTAAGAGGGGTAATTTTTCATGGATGTAATAATTTCAGTTTTTAGACACATGAATTAAATGCACTAGTTCAGACTCATTGTCCTTTTTGTATAGTGTCCTGTCTTCAGTCATTATCCAAACATGCCCTCGAGAAACTTGCAGTAGAGCTGCCAATGCCCAGCAATTAGCAGTCCCTGGACCACAAGCTCTATCATAATTTCCAGAAACTGTTTGCATTAGTAATAGGCCTCTTTGTATTAATGTGAAATATCCCATCCTTTTCTGTCTTTTTTTTTCTGCATTTTTCTGAAGGGTGCATCCATTGTGATGTTGTTTCCCTTGTCAAGACAAACATTGATATGAAAAGATGTCCCAGCTTAATACAACTGTGAATAAAGAAAATCAGGCTGGGCTGCATGTTATTAGTAAATAATTAGTTCTATGATTCTATGATTAATGAAATTTACGCTGACTGGTAAAGTGTCTTAAGAAGTCTGAAGCCTGTCACATTATTGCACCTCAGATACTCCCCTATAGCTAAATCTTGCAAGGACTTGACTGAGGTGAATGAGCAGACCTTGGTTTTGAGGCAGGAGATCTTGCTGTAGGAGATGGAGTAAAGGAAGGGAATAGGCTGCTGATAGAGAAGGACCTCTGGAAGAAACTTTCCCTTGGCTGCTGTATTGCTGTGTATTTGCACAATGCAGTTTAGTTGTTGGAAACGGCTTGTTGGAAAGCCTGACTGGCCAGTTAGAGCAAGGATTATCTGTCCCCTTTATTTGATTTTGTTATAAGCCCACAGAGATTTGTGTAAACACAGAGCGGGGGTGTCGTGGTTTAACCCGGCTGGCAACTCAGCACCACGCAGCTGCTCGCTCACTCCCCCCTCCCTCAGTGGGATGGGGAAGAGAATCGGAAAGAAAATAAAAGGTTAGAGCCGAGGGCTGAGATAAAGACAGTTTAATAAGAGAAAATAATAATAATAGTAATAATGAGAATGATAACAGAATATACAAAATGAATGATGCACAATGCAATTGCTCACCAC